CTCAAACCATTTTGCCTCTGGCAGAGGAAGCTGTGAGGGGTGGATTTGTCCCTCCCTGGTTTTTCCCAAGCCCCAGTACAGTGGGAGTGAGGATAAAGCATCAGTTCTGGGGAAGTGAAGGGGCTCAAGGCTTCAAGCAGACAATGAGGAGGGCACAGGATCTTGGCCCGTGGCCCCTGCCCTGGCACCACCAGTCCCTTTGTGCTGCCCTGGCTGGGGCAGGTTTCACTCAAAGGCCCAGCTTTGCTGAGCTTTTTTTCTTTTTTTTTGGGAAAGGAAAAGCCAGGAAGTTTCAGTGTGTGCTGGGAGTGCCATGGAAACCAAGTGAGCCCTGGTGGAGGCTGCTGGAGTCACCTCTGACCCCCCAAACTCTGGCAGAGGGGTGTTTGTGCTTTGATACCAGCTCATTCCAGTGCACAAATCCAGCTGGATTTGTCAGCCTGTCCTGATCCAGGATCCTGTCCAGCCCTCCCAAGGGCTGCTCAGCTGAGGTGGGAACCAGTGTAACCCCCAGGACACTTATCCAGGTTTTCCCAGGGATCCTGTCCATGTGTCCCTGGGCTGTCCCCAGCACTGGGTGATCATCCCACCCGTCACCACAGCAGTTCAAACAGGTTTGCTCTCCCTGAACACCCAATTCCAGCTGGAATAAAGTGGGGATAATGCACTGCTGGCAGTGCATCAGTGACAGTCCAGCTGCACAGGCTCTTTGCTCCCAGCAGCACCCCCAGCTCGGGTCTGCACTCGCCTCAGATGGCAAATTCTGAGCAGGATTGGCATGGAAAAGCAGAGCTGGGAGTGCCAGGGGATGGATAACCTGGGTCCAGGCTGTCCCCCAGGGTTGTATCTGGATGCTTGCCTTTGTGCACTGCTGGAATTTTGGTCAGAAATGAGTGTTGGAAGCACTGGGTGAGGCACCAGGGGCTTTTGGAGGTGCAGGATGCCTGAGTCAGTGTTTCCCGTGTCAGGATTTGTCTGGTTCTCATCAGGGAAGTGCTGCTGTCTCCAGGGAAGTGTCCTGACCAGGCAGGTCCTGCCTGGTGTGTCAGAGCAGGCTTGGAAAGGGCTCCTGTTCCTGGGCAGCACAAAGTTCCAGTGCCCTGGTGGTGCCTGTGTTCCATTTCCATCAGTGAGATTTGGGGTGGAAACAGCCCAGGCAGATCCAGGGAAATCAGCCCTGGCAGGAGCCAGGCTGGGCTCTTCCCACAGTTAATTCCTGAGGGAAACAAGAGTTCAGAGAAATCCTAAACGTGCCCTGTGGAGGTGCAGCACCTTAACCCAGGGGCTTGGATTTGTGGATAGGATCCTGTCTGGGGGCAGTAAAGTGGAACTGGGAGCTGTTCCTGCCCCTGTGTCCAGGGTCAGCACATCACACCCCGGGTGAGGAGGAGACAGTGGCACCCTGAGCCATGGAATCATGGAATGGTTTGTCTGGGAAGGGACCTCAAAGCCCATCCAGTGCCACCCCCTGCCACGGGCAGGGACACCTCCCACTGTTCCAGGGTGCTCCCAGCCCCATCCAGCCTAATCCTGCTGTCCCTCCTGCCTCTCCAGCCCAGCAGGTTTGTGCATCTGCACCTCACACCTCTCATCTTCAAGCCAAGAGCCAAACCTGAGGTCAGCTGGAGCTCAGGGTGGTCCATGGCCGTGATGCAGAGCAGGAGAACGTTCCAGTTCGGGAGCTTTGGGAATAAACTGAGGGATTTGAGCTGCAGCAGGTCTGACAGAGCCCTGACAGGACACCAAGGAGCAGAGCAGTTACAGGCTGGTCATGGCATAGCCTTGCTGAGCTCCACAGGCTCTTCCCTGAGGGATAAATCCCAGTTGGAGCCCTGCCAGCAGGTCTGGCACCTTACCAGTCAGCAGAGCTGGAGCTGCCCGTGGCTCCCTGTGGATTTGGGATGGAATGGGGTGAAATTGGGGGTGGTGGTGCACCTGGAGCACAGAAACTCACCTTTGCATCACCTGCTTGGTTTGGGGTGGGATGGGGGGAGCTGCCAGAGCTGGCTGTGGGTCCAGTGTGTGTTCCTGGCACAGGGAGGAGATGGCCTTGGGAATAAGTCAGGGAAAAAGGCACTAAAGTAACTGGCAGAACAACATCTGGCTCCTCAGGCTGCTTTTGGGCAGCTCTGGCATTTCTGGTAGCAGGAGGTGGGCTGGGTGCAGAGCACAGGGAGTGGAGAGAGGAATGAGGGAATGCTGGAGGATTCCAAGCACAGGGAGTGGAGAGAGGAATGAGGGAATGCTGGAGGATTCCAAGCACAGGGGCAGCAAAGACCCAGCCAGGGGTGAAATCCTTCCATTCAGGGAGAACAGGTTTCATCTCCAAGGATCAATGTAGCCCCAGTCCCACTGCACATGTGTTTGGGAGCAAACTACCAGGGCTGGGGAAAGCCCCCTTTTATCCAAGGAAAGTGTTTCCTTGGGATCAGGCAGGGTCAGCACAGCCCCCATGGCTTCTGGGGTCTGGGGGGGGCACCTTGGCTGATTCTCATTTGTCTTTTTGGGTGAGATTTGGTGGGTTTTTTTCAGTTTGGAGGTTTGTGTTTCTAGTTTGGAGGTTCCAGTGTCCGCTTTGGAGGTTCCTGTGGCAGTGGAGATCCAGATCAGCTCAGGTGGGAGCTGCTGGTGGCACAGCTCACGTGGTCCTGCAGCAGCTGCCCTGAGGGACTGGTCAGACTGGTTGGAGCTGGGAAGCACCATCCTGCACCCAGAGCAGGGCTGGGAGTGAGGGACAGTCCTGGGGATGGGGTGGTTCCTGTAGGGGTTGAGTTCTCACAGGGACTCGCCCATAAGGGCAGAAAGGATTTGAAATGACCATGTATCTTCTACCCAAATCCAACCCATTTCTTTTCAAAGTGAAGTGGGATTTGTTGGCTAGTTTTAACTTTAAAAAATTTAATAATAACTTGTGTGACAGGCTGGAGCAGTGTTGGATTCCTGCCAGGGACGGGCACGTACCTTGAGAGGGGTAAACATGAGAAAACAGGGAATTAAAAGTAAGGAGAAGCTGTTAAACAGGGAATTAGTGCAGGAGGAGCAGTGGAGGTGCCAGATGAGTAAAGCTTTTGTAAAGATGGGTCCTGCCAAGGCATCATTCCTTGGGGAGCTTCCCAAGCCCAGCTCTGCCCACACTGCTGTGAAATGCTTGGCTTGGCACTGGGTTCTGCTCTGGTGCAGTTTTTAGAAGGATGTGCTTGGTGAGGTGCAGGTCAGGGCTGTGGCAGAGCTCTCCTGCCACCCTGAGGGGATGGGAGGGATTTGGAGTGATCCCTGCTCCTCCACAGGCTGGGAGTGCTGGGGAAAAAGGCATCAAATCATCAAATCCCACAACAGTTTGGGTTGGAAGGAGCATTAAAGCTCAGCCTGTCCCACCCCCTGCCGTGGGCAGGGACACCTTCCACCAGCCCAGGGTGCTCCAGCCTGGCCTTGGACACTCCCAGGGATCCAGGGGCAGCCACAGCTTCTCTGGGCAACCTGTGCCAGGGCCTCCCCACCCTCCCAGGGAAGGATTTCTGTGCTTCCCTAAAACAGTCAGTGCAGTGTGAAAGGGTTTCACTGCAGAGCTCAGCTTTGCTGGGTCTCACTGCTGGGCCCAGCCCATGGATCTGGCCTGTCCTGATCCCTGTGCTTTGCTGCACATCCTCTTTGCTGCCCTTGGGCACAACCTGGAGCACCAAGGCCCTGCCCAAATCCTTGGAGGGCTCTGCTCATCCCCCCTGTATTTCCCTCTCCTCCTTCTTTCGCCCCATCTGGGGGGTTTTTGCAGTGTTTGGGTTTAGTGCAGGCCCAGCTGTGCCTCCTGCTCAGGGAGTTCACCCCAGCAGTCACAAATTCGGGGGGTCAGTCAGTTTGGTGGCTCTGGTTCCTGAGGGATTCCCCCTTTGTGTGCTTTGGGAGCAGGGACACCTGGCTGGGAGAGGCTGTGATCCCCCTGTCCCTGCAGGTCACCCCTGTGCCTCCTGGCTTTGCTCCTGCCTGCAGCAGGGTGGGTTTAAAAAGCCAAACAAAAAACACCCCACCAGTGAAAAGAGGGATCCTCTGCCTCCACCCTCCTGCTGGGATCAGAGATCTCCCCTCTTTTTGGGGGAAACTGTGTGATTTGTTTCCATTCTTTGTCCCACAGCTCTCGTTTTTGTGAGATGTGGGTTCTTTTTTGGGAGAAAAGCCCCACAACACACCTTAAAATCCCCGTGCAGCCCGTTGTGAGCTCCCACCAAACCCCCTCCGAGGTCCACGTGAGCAACCTGGAGCATCCAGAGCCTGGAAAACCCTGGCATTGGGCTGATGTCTGACAAAAAAAGTCTTGTGGAGAGCCTGAACGTGGGGGCTTTTTTTGTTTGCCTTTTCCCTGGGGCTTGGAGCACACGTGGACTGGTGTCACTGGTGTCACTGGGGCAGCCACAACTCGTGTCCTCCCTGGGACTGGGAGCTGGGTCTGGGATCTTTGTGCCTCTGCATGGGTGTGGTGGTGGGTGAGGGTCCCCCCAGCAGGAGATGAGCTCCCAAAGCCCCCTGGGCACTGAGCTGGTGCTCTGTTGCAGTGGGACGTCCCCCCTGGCCTGCCTGAATGCCATGTTACACACCAACTCCCGCGGGGAGGAGGGCATCTTCTACAAGGTGCCGGGACGGATGGGAGTCTACACCCTCAAGGTGAGTGAGTCAGTGAGCTCCTGGCACCTCCACGGGGTGCTCAGGTGGCTTTGGGCTGGTTAAAAACACCTTGGGTTGGGATCTGGGAGTCCCTGGGGTTGGAAAAGCCCTCCCAGCCCGTGGATCCCCCTGTGCCCCATCCCCACCTTGTCACTGAGTGCCACGGCCAGGCCTTCCTGGGACACCTCCAGGGCTGGGCACTCCAANACCTCCCTGGGCAGCCCCTGCCAGTGCCTGACCACCCTTTCCATGAGGAAACTCCTCCTGATGTCCAAATTATCCAGGATAGTCCTGAAGAGGGGCCTGTTCCTCACTGGCAGGAGTTGGAGTGTGGATGTTCCCTCCTGAGCACTGGGTGTGAGGGCACAGCTGGAGCTGCTCCTGTTACCCACAGGGTGGTTTGCTGATATCAGTCACTGTCCTAGAAATGAAGAAGTAATTAAAATGTCAGTGGAACTTCAGCCCTAAAAGGGTAACTTCATCTTCACTGCTCTCAGCTTGTCCCTAGAAATGAAAAATCACCTTTTATCCTCAGTAAGACAGAGGGAAAAATATGGGAGGATCTGATTGGTGTATTTAAAAATAATCTGTGTTTCAAACACTAGAAGGAGGCCTCACACCATCCCTGGTTTGGTGTGGATTGTCCCTGCAGGCTGTGCCCAGACCTGCTCAGTGTGGGAGGTCCCCACGGGGACACTTTTCCTCTCTCACTCCCTCCTGGACAGAGAGGAATGGAACCACAGAGTCATTAACACTGACAGCCCTTGTCACCCTCATTGGCCTTAGGTGTGGAAATCACTCCTGGCTCTGGTTTCAGGGGCAGGACAAGGAGACAGTTGTCTCCAGGTCCAGGGAGAGCTGTTCTGATGTGCTTTTCCCAGCAGAAAGGATTCCCTGTGGGGCACACCCAGAGCTGTCCAGCTGTTCCCTCCTGCTGCCTCACACATTCCTAAGGATTCTTGGGAATGATGGCACCAGTTCAGCCTTGGCTGAGGGGGTGGCACAGAGGCAGAGCAGGGTGAGGGTTGGGATGGGCCACAGTCCATCTCCTCCTGGCTCAGCACCTCTGGGAGGTGCCCAGAGCTTTTCAGGTGGGGGAGCAGGGGGGCCATGACCCACCACGACTGGACAGCTCAGCAGCAGGGACCAGCCAGCTCTCCTGCCCTGGAAATGAGTGTTGCAGTGTGGATCCCATGGGATCAGCACTAGAGGGCAGGCTGGGCTTGGTGTGGGAGGGATGGAAGAGCTGCTGCTCCCTCTGAGGGGAACAGCCCAAACCCACA